ATGCATGTTGGTATGTTTTGACGTTACATTCTAAGTTTATTTCTGCAGCTTTATTAAAGTCTGGGACCATTATGTAAAATATTTGGTCGTTTGAATATGAACCAGTTGTAAAAAACATGTCCTAAAACATTCGATTTTCAGCATGATAAAATGTTTATTAATCCTTTCAGCGTTTCATTTCATTACGCGTTGGAATTTCATTTTACTCAGGTTTTTGAATAGCATCCGGATATGCTTGGATCAGAATGATTCTTCTTTAGTTATGAATCACAGTAATTCTGAATAAAAGTTAATCCAGGTGGGTCAATTTATTAGTTCCTACCATTTGAACATATGAAATATTTCACATAGAGAACTATATGGATGGATGATTTCTGAGTGCAACTTTAACACATGGAAACGAACTATCATAAAACAGCTGACAATCCAATCTTCAAAATAATAGAGAAAAGCAAAGTACATGGCAATCGACCTGTGTGAGTACTTATCAGTGAAGTAATGGTACTGGTATATACAAAATTCGAAAATATTTGCCTTGGCATGGAAGAAAAACAATACTACAATTGTTATGTCCCTATACTGACTTGGACACCAAACTGTTTTGAAAGCTGAGTAAGCTGATCTTCATAATGGACATTTCTTTGGACAGATTCCCTGTAGTTGAATTTCAAGTCTTCAATTTCTTCAAAAAACTCTGGTCCAAACTGCTGAAGCTCTTTGCGAAGCTGCGAAAAAAATGTTGTATATGTACATGTAAAATGTATATTATTATGTCTCCGACAGTTGAATACACATACATTGTATAACCCAAGAGATCTTTCTAACTTGTTGAATACTTGATTGATGTGCATATGTATACCGTATTTATCCGGGTATAAGCCCAGGGTTCTGAACACGGACAATTGCCAAAAAGAAGGGGTGGGCGTTTGCCAGGAGATCCCCGGCAAAAAAAAAGAAAATTCGCGAAAATTGACAACACGCAAATCGAACATGCGGCAGGGAATAGAACGGCAAATGAAAACATGCAACGGAAATAAAGGAACAATATGCAACACTAGAAGTAAAACAAAAATAATGTATTGCTTATAATTTGACAAATAAACCAGAAATAATAAACTGCGTAAAATGATTTCCGGTCTCGACAAATTACGAATCAACCGTCATACAAGATCAATAATAATTTACAAATTTACACAGTAAAAATTATAAAAATTCATAAGTGTTTGAAAAAACTTCTCAGATCTTTATTTGTACGTTCATTGCCATCTTCGTCAAACTCAAAACCCTCAAATGTCCAAGTCGGCGTCACTGTAGCCGTCGAACAAAATCCCTACAACTTATTCCTGAAGTTCGTTGATATCGTCCCACACAATTTGGACTTAGCACTATTAATCCACAGATTTCGCAGTCTGTCAGCTTGGCACTTTTCATTCATGTCTAATCATAATAAAGAGACAAGAAAAATGGGGTCGCTCTGCTGCGATGGCACACGATGCTTTT